ATCACTTTATTAATATTATCTATTTAATAGCCCATGATACACATGTGAGAACTAAAGATATGCGAGTACATAGAGGTTGTGCACTAATGTTGTCACCACAGCTCATATAATTGCACCGAAGTGCCACATATAATTGCACAGGAGTGCCGCGTAGAATTGCACCGTAGTGCCATATAATAATGTCCATAAGGACCACATATCATTCCTTAAGAATCATATACATATACTAGGGATCAAGTATGTGTCTTACCAGACTTCACACATGTTCTAAAGAATACATATATATCCCGAAGGACCACATATCATTCCTTAAGAATCATATACATATGCCAAGGATCAAGTATGTGTCTCACCAGACTTCACACATGTTCCAAAGAATACATATATGTCCCGAAGGACCACATAGACCCTCGACTCTTGGCATGCCAACTATACCCCTAGCTCTCATGACAAATAACATGGGCATTATCTTTTATAACATTTTACATATTCATGTAACCATATCATATATTCATATAAGCTCATGGTTTCATTCACATATACATGTAATCACGTAGTTCATGTCAATTCTCATATGAGTTCATATTCATATAAACATAGGATTCACCCTCATGTATCACATATACTTTCTCTTTCATATGGCTCATAACATTTCTCATGTGTTCATATGACATATAAATCATTGTCATCTTATCATGTTATCACATAAACATATACTCATGCACACAAATAAATCATAACAAATACATACTTCTATGAATTCATGTTTTTCACTATTGGAAATAGACTTATCGCAAGTCTTATTTTCCATTGAACCTCATATACTAAATAATGTGCACTCACCTTAGCCTTGTTTGCTTTGAATCAATCTTAATCCTTAGATTGTTCCGGAACAAGCTTTATTCTATATCTACATCATAATAATACATTGATACATATAAGTATACTAATTGATATCTTCTAAATTGTCACTTCTTAGGCTAAAAGAAAAACCCATTTCATCTTTTAATGAAGGTATGCATCGATGCACTGCACAGTGTATCGATGCATTCCCTATCGGTGCATCGATGCACTACCTGTGCATTGGTGCATAAAATACATTCGATGTTTGTTTATTACTGGGATGCATCGATGCATGCCTTATGCATCGATGCACCAATTGCATTCGATGTTTTTAGATTAAAAGAGTGCATCGATGAACAACATGTGCATCGATACACCTTCAAACAATTTCTGGGTTTTAACCTTGATGCATCGTTGCACTATGAATATGCATCGATGCACTCTGCCCAGAATCCTCGTTTTGAACCCGAAAATTCATTCTTTTTGGATTAAATCCTTCATATTTCAACCCTTTTCATATTCCTAACTTACATATACATACTTAAACTCATTAATATTCATTTATCTCATCTTTAACCTTAATATCCTCTCCTCTTTAGGAATTTCAAGAATCATACCCTATTTTCCACATGTTTTAAATCCAATTCTAATACTTAATACTTCTTAATTAAGCTGATGACAAGTAAAATTTAGCTTCAAGTTTAACTTATCAACTCCATTCTGGAAATTCACTCAAGAACTCCAAATCTTTAATCTTCCCTAACTCATTTATCTTTTGATCTTAATATAACTTAAGCTTTCCTTAAGCTTAAGTATCACCTAAGAATCATAACCCAACTTTTAATTCAACAAATAACCAACTAATTAAGAAACTCACCTTTGAGCTGGAGCTTCACGCACAAAGAAGAAAGGAGGAGAAGAGAATTCTGGAAACATTATTTTTGGTTTCCTACACTCCCACGTGTAAAAATATATATCCCCACTATCACATTTTTAATTCCTTAAATGATCAAATGACCATTTTACCCTTTAGTTCCTTTAATAATTACAAACAACTTTTAGGAAATACTTCCAAATAAATCATTGAACTAATCCATTCTTCTACTTTAGTCACCAAATTCTGAAACTTTACAATTTGGTCACTAACCCATAGTTTGGGATGTTACACAAAGTTTAATGAGCAAATTGGAAAAATTGAAAATTCAGTGAGTAAAATAGAAGAGAGAGTAAAGTCCAATGAGAAACAATGTAATTTACTCTTATTTTAAATGTATAAGGACTAGAATAAAAATGTTATATGGAATAGATACTTGTAGTGGACTTTAACCAAATAATTTATAATATGAGTACACATTTATAAATAAAAGACTTAAATATACAAAAGGTGTCAAACCAATGCTCGTTTTTCCAGTTTAGTGACTAATATTTTTTTCGTTCCAGTTGGTGCCTAACGTTTCATTTCGTTACTCAAAATGGGTCCAGCCGTGACGGGCCGTTAAGTTTGATTAACCCATTAAAAATGCCAGCTGACATATTTTTTAGGGTAAAATATATAAATAATCTCCAAACTTTTAAGGCGTTGCATTTTGGTCACCCCGTTAAACTCCTCATTCTTCTTCTTCTTCTTCTTCCATCATTTCCCGACAGTGGCCTGCACCACAACCACCAAAATGTTCCCCACTGTCCCTCGACCAAAACCCCTCTGGTTATTCACAGTAAACCGCCGCCGATCGTCGTGGGTGGCCCTTTGAAGCTCTGTCGAAAATCTAAAAACCTACCATTGATATTCTTCACGATTTTGGCTACCATAGGCATCCATAGGTCGCCACCAACGTGACTGTCGTCCACCCACGACCAAAACCCAACCACCCTTGCATCGTGAATCGTTGATTTTTGCCACGGAGAACGACTTAAAGCTTCATTGAAAAAAAACTACACCATCGTCGTTATTTTCGCGATTTTCACGCCAATCTCGGGCTCCGTTCACCTCACTGCCATATGGTTCCCCACTTTGTTCTGACCAAAACCCAGCCAGTATTGTTCCCTCCCATCGTTGTTTCCTTCGTCTGGCGTCGGGGTAAGCTCCGATTACTTTATATTTAATTTTTGGGGTGACCAAAATGCAACGCCCTAAAAGTTTGAGGATTATTTATATATTTCACCCTAAAAAAATATGTCAGCTGACATTTTTATGATTTAACGGCCAAACTTAACAACCCCTCACAGCTGGACTCATTTTGAGTAACGGAATGAAACGTTAGGCACCAAATTAGAACGAAAAAAAACGTTAGGCGCTAAACTGGAAAAGCGGGCATAGACTGGGCACCTTTTGTATATTTAATTTGGGATCTAGGTATTTGCTACAGTGCATGGAACTCGTCACTTCGAGGTGACGAATTTCAATAGAAAACTTTTTTTTTAAACTTTTTTTTTCAAACTTTTAATCCCGATGTAATACAAATTAATAAAAAATATTTTATTAGAACTCGTCGCCTCGAAGTGATGAATTTAAATAAAAAATAGTATTTGGGTGAACTCGTCATCTCGACATGACAAGTTCGTTAAACACTGTAACATATGTCGTATATCCCAAATTAAAAGACCATGTGCCCTAGAAGCTTTTTTTCTCTAAGTGCGGTATTAGGCCATACATTTTATTGCTTTAAAGTCCATAACAAATGGACTATAATGTACAAATATCTCATCTGAAGTCATCATCTTTGTGCATGCATATCCTCCATCGATAATACAAACATTCATCGAGTTTGACCACAAAATCATTAACTTCAGCATTTTCCACTTGTTTTCTTTTTGCCAACTTGTTATCTTTCTTCTTAAATTCTCGAATATGATCAATCTTTCTACTGAGTTTCTCTAAAATGATCAATTAAGATTCGTTTGACACGTAACTTGGCCAGTGGTGCACTATTTTTTATCATCTTTAGATGAGTATTCTTAACGAAGAAAGGTTTTCGGGCTTGTCTCTTCAACCTCTTTCTTTTCTTTAGCTTGGTTCATCCAAAGATAATCCAAATCTCTTCACTCTTGTTGAATGTTTATATATATGTATATATATTCCATTTAATTTTAACAAATTCAATTTTTTTAGGTACTTCAACCCCCAACGTTTCATTTTAAGTCTAAATAATTTCAACAAACAGTTAACATCTAAAACTGACTCAATAAAATAAGCTGACAAAGATATTAACATGATATGTTCATATGATAAAAACAAGTTCGGATGTGATAATATTCCACAATTTTTTTTCTTAAATATAATAATAGAATAATTTCTTATTATATTAATAACAATATGACATCAATTTAAACACAATATTGAAAAAATTGCTATCAGAAAGACTTGAACCCAACACGCACAAAGGGAATTGCATTGCTCAAGTCACCAAACCAAGCTATTTGACATCATCTAACTTGAAATCTTTTTAAACACTTAATTAATCTTCAAAAGCAACAAAATTCCATTCTCGTGTTGCCTTCATAACACAACACTTCAAATCAAATTCATTTAATATGGGAATTAAGTTTTAGTTATTTACTGTTGAGCAAGGAGCATACCTGCACTTCGAGTAATGCGATTTTGTATCTGTTTGCTAAAAGGACTGGGTTATTTGGCTCTTTCTGCTTTCAGTTCCTTCTATCATCCCACCACTAGAAGAGAGGATACAAATATATACACAAACACTTCAAGAATTAAGCGCAAAGGTAACTCGACGCCATTCCCGGCATTCACTACTAACAATTTAACTACACTTGATGTTCCCTTCCATTTGCTATATTACGACATACTTGGACTATATTAAACACGATCAAAATAGTAATATTCAATTTAAACATGACTGAACATTTAAACATTTTCACCTCTTCAGTCTAACATGATATCCAATTGGTTACTTACAACATCCAAATAAGTTAGCAGAACAAGAGCTCAAAGCAAAGCATAATTATCGGAATATTTCCAATCCAAAATTACATTATTGCAAATAACAGTCTTTCATATAGGCTAAAACAGTACGAGTTTGATCTTTTATTCTGTTTAAAAGAACGCCTTAACTAAATGTAAAACCAACACAAACTTGCATTAAAGTCAGCAGATAAAAAGGGGTTTACGTGGTATTGACTGAATATTACTTATTTTTTCTAACCCTTTGTTTTTAGTTTCAGCATGAACCAAGTGAAGCCTCACTTTGGGTCGGTGAAGAAGCTGTTGATACCGGGCATGATTTCAGGTGCCTTGTTGCGGACATATTTCCTTAAGAAATGTTCAGTATATTTTTCTCCCTCGGCAAAGTTCTCCAAAACCCCAGCAGCCCTGTTCTCCTTGTTTACCCTGAAAACGAATATATTTTCAACACTTCAATTGATTCTCACAATCTTCATTAAATACCAAATAAGACTTCACGTTTTGGCTATGTAACTTTCTATTATTAATTCAATTATTAAAAAAATAGAATGCAAAATAACTTCTATTTTTCTACTCATTTGGATTGACCCAGACATGGAATAGTAGCAAGGGCGAGCTGGAAGTACACTGTGTTAGTTTATGGCCCGGATTTGCTTGCTAACATGCAAATCCCTGGTAACCAGATTGACCGGTTGAATAGAAAATCAATTTGTTATATATCATCCAATCGATCATTGTATAAATTGACTATGAATATCAATTATGTCTCTTGTTCGTTTTGTTCAAAGCAGGAAGAAACAGTTCAGCATCTTTTCATCTCGTGCTCGGTTGCAGGGGACCTATGGAGAAGTTTTTTGAGGTTATGGGAAATCTCGTCAGTCTTGCCTATTATGGAAGGCTAGAAACTCGTGGTTTTTGATAATGGAAACTGGACAGTTCTACTCTTTTCTTCATTTGCAGATTTAGATTGGCTAAATAGTTTCTGGCTAAGCACCCGAATGTCATTATTCAGGTAGATTCCCTTGTGGGGGACCCTACTCTTGCAGACAAGCTTCAAAATACGGTCCCCAAAAGGATGAAAGTTCAGGGTTGGCTTCCTCCACCATTACATTTTTTTAAAGTTAATGTTGATGGGGCAGTCAGTGGGGACGGGCTGTTGGGGGGAATTGGGGGCATTTTAAGAGATTCGAAAAGTAAAATTCTAGGGTCTTTTTCGAATGCTGTTGGTCCAGGTCCTCCCCCACTCGCTGAACTGAAAGCCATTGAGAAAGGCATTGATTTTTTTCTCTCGTCGGAGTGGGCGATGAAGGGAAGGTTAATAATAGAGAGTGATTGTAAATCAGCAGTGGATTGGATTTTGCTGCCGTCTTCATTTCCTCCTTTTTTTAGTTCGATGATTGAGAAAATTGTTTCCCTAGTCTCGGATAGGGAGATTATTGTTAGACACATCCCGAGGAGCTGCAGTTGTGAGGCTGATACTCTGGCTAAACAGGGGATTGGATGATTAATTTTGTTGCTTTAGAGGTTTTTCAGTAGGTTTTTGGTGGCCTATTGATGTTTTGGGGCTGAGATAGTTTTGTTGTTTAAGGGTTGTCAGGTCTTTTGGTGTTTTTCATTTTCGGTTTTTGTAATACTTAAGGTTCTGTTAAGTATGTCTTCTGGTTGTATCTTATGTACTTTGCCTATGATTAATAAAATCCTAAGGCACTCTTTTCCTCCTTCCGCTGATTAAGGAGCTTTCCTAAAATCTCCATTAATCAAGAAGGGGGTTTTTAATGAGGCCTGAAATTCTTATAAAAAAAATATGTGCTTATATTTAATACTTTCATATTCAATTTTCTTTTCTAATACAAGATTTCATCTGTTAGACCTCTAATCAAGTTTTTAAACATTGTCCCTGATTTAAGTGAGGGCCATGACCATGTATTAACCAAGCTAAATTTTCCCGGGGTTGCCGAGGAAGGTTGGGTACAAGATTCAGATTTTAGATTTGGATTTTCGAAGGTATAAAATCATTAATCTCAACTTCACGACTAGATAAGCATCTAACAAATATTCATAAATGGAAAAAAATAATAACCACAAATGTATATTTCTGAAAAATAAAAGAAAATCCCTATAAAAAAGACAAGATTATCTTAAATATAAATATTTTATAATAAAATCGTAAATATTTCAAAATATGAGGAGAAAGAGGGAGAGAGACCTGACTTCAGGGTTGATGCAGATATTACGCACCAACTGAAAACCGCAGATGCCCACAGCAACACCCACGGCCGCGAACAGCGGATACACCTGCAAAGTACACCAAACCACCGTTTATTAAGTATTTTCTTCTTGTTAATTCATCAGATCTGAAAATTTACAACAATCTAAAAAAGAAAAGAGAGAAAAAAAGTGTGACTGATATCAATACTAAGGAATTGAGTTTACCTCAGGCCTCAACCATCGGTTTGCCATTGAGCGCACAGCAGGTAACAAAATCAAAGCGATGGATAAGCCAAAAAGAGAAGACTGAGTGAGAGAGAGCGCTTTGAAATGGAAGGAAAATGAGGAGAATTGACTACTTTTAGAAAAATTTCAAGGAAAGCTCCCGTGGGCTCCATGAAACCTGAGCAGTTGGATAAGACCCATGAAACCTGAGCCGTTGGATAAAGTGTAGGCTTTAAAATTTGGCTTAAATGCACTTGCACCTTAAACTGCTTGCTTTTAAAGTATTTTTTTCGGGTGTTTTGTTCTCATTTGTCTTAAATTATTAACTCCGTTAAAAAAGATGTAGATAAATTAATATTAAGTCACTCAATTATTCTTATAGTTTAATTTTGGTCACCCAAATATTTTTATCTACTAATATTTTTTTACAAAATCATCACTAAACTATATTTTGTCTCACGGCACCGGCGACCGTTCTCCAGCAAAAACTAATTGATAAATGAACCCATATTGTTGTTGTTATTGTTGAGACTAAACAAAATCATTTGTTGTTGATTTTACAGCGACAAACAAAGCATTAATTGAGGGAAGTAAATCGGTTACTGGGATGCATCAAAAGCAAAAGAAAAATCAGTCTCGAAGATGCCAACGAAGCATTAGGAGACGGTAAAAAAAATATTAAATAAGGAAAATTAGAAGACGATTTGTCAACCATTAAAGCAAATGATCGAACAGGTTCCTAACGTTGTTGAGAGTTACGAATTTTTTTGTGAGATCTTTGTGAGATGGAAGCTTCATCAAAGCATGGCTCAGTAGCTTCCCATCTTTCTATCGAACCCAAAATCAAGCCTCTTCCCTTTATCAATCTCCCAATCTTGCCCGCTTCCCATCTTCTATGTTTCATCACCAACTATTTTTTTACAACCATTGATAATTACTTCAATAAACCACTGAAGAATATCTCGCTCTTTCTATCCAAATAAAAAATTTCAACAAAGATCCAAAGCCAAAATTGTTGAAAGTCTTTATTCGATGCCCACCGAATAACATTAGTCAACAATAGGGACACCGAATGGCAACGGTCAAAGGAGCTGAAAATGTTGAATTTTATGGCATGGTAAAATTGCTAAATTAATCCCTATACTTTAGGGTATTTATAAGATTAGTCCTTAAGCTTCAACTATAAATACCCTAACCCATTTAGCTTCAAAACCATCCCAAATCATTCTAGCTTTCTCCAAATACTAGAGAATTTAGAGAGTTTCTTGAGAGTTGTTTTCTCCTTTTTTTATCAAGAGATAATTGTCATTGTTTTCTCCTTGTTTGATAAAGAGAAGTTGTAATTCCTATTTTCTCATAGTGAAATTCTTCTACCTTTGCCCGTGGTTTTTACCCTATATTATTTAGGGTTTTTCCACTTAAAATTTGTGTCTTCTTTATCTTCATTTTTTATTTTCTCAAATTATCAATTGCGATTTTGCTCTATCCGATAGCCGTATTCCGCACAATTGGTATCAAGAGTCAAATTTGAGTGTGTAATATCTACTTATTGTCTTTGTGGTTGCCACCAAAAGGTGGATCCTCCAACATAGGAAAGTAAGAATGTACTACACATTCTTTGAAGGTTTCAGAGAACTATTTATGATAGTGAAATAGTGTGAGCTATCCGTAATAGAAGCTATGGCAACGAAATTTGATATTGAAAAATTCAATAGGAGAAATTTCTCATTGTGAAAATTAAAGATGAAGGTCATCCTGAGGAGATGAAGTATTGTCAAGCATTGAGGAGAAGAAGACATCTAAGGAGATATGGGATAAAAAAATCCAGAAAATGCAAATTTTTGGGGTATGCTAATGGAGTTAAGGGGTATCGCTTGTGAGATCCCACTGCCCACAAAGTGATCATTAGCATGAATGTTATCTTTATAGAAGATAATCTACAAAGAAAAGAATAAGATAGTAGCGCTGAAAAGTCAGAGACAACACAGATACATATGGAAAAGGAGTTTGAACAAGGAGATTCTTCTGAAGCAGAGCCAGCACATGATGAACAAGAATCAGGGAGTTCTGAAGCTCCAACAACTCGTCAATCAGATCGTGTGAGAAGACGTCCCAATTGGCACTCAAATTATGTTATAGAAGGAAATATTGCATACTGCCTTTTAACAGAGGACGATGAGCCATCAACATTCCACGAGGCAATAAACAGCTCAGATGCTTCACTATGGATGATGGCGATGCAAGAAGAAATTGAAGCACTTCATAAAAATAATACATGGGACCTTGTGTCACTACCACAAGGAAGGAAGCCGATTGGTAACAAATGGGTCTTCAAAATCAAGCGAAATGGTAACGATCAAGTTGAGAGGTATCGTGCAAGACTGATGGTGAAATGATATGCTAAAAAATAAGGTATAAATTTCAATTAAATCTTTTCTCCTGTGGTTAGACTAACAACAATTCAAGTAGTCTTGGCAATGTGTGCTACATTGAACTTACATCTAGAGCAGCTAGATGTTAAAACAACTTTTCTTCATGAAAATCTTGAAGAAGATATTTACATGCTCCAGCCTGAAGGTTTTGAAAAAGAAGAAAAGAAGAACTTGGTTTGCATGTTGAACAAATCTCTGTACGGTCTAAAGCAGGCACCGATGTGTTGGTATAAGAGATTTGATTCCTTCATTATGTGTCTTGGATACACCAAACTTAATGCAGACCCTTGTGCTTATTTCAAGAGGTTTGATGATAACGATTTTGTTATATTGATGTTGTATGTGGATGACATGTTGTTTGCAGGACCCAACAAATATCATATTGAAGAATTGAAGGCACAACTAGCTAGGGAATTTGAAATGAAGGACTTGGGATCAGCAAACAAGATTCTAGGGATGCAAATTCACCGAGACATGAGTAATATGAAGATTTGGCTTTCACAAAAGAATTACTTGAAGAAGATCTTGTCAAGATTCAACATGCAAGATTGTAAGCCAATTTCTACCCCTCTTCCAATTAACTTCAAATTATCCTCCAGTATGAGTCGTATCAGTGAAGAAGAGATGATGAATATGTCTCGAGTACCGTATGCATCAGCAGTGAGAAGTTTAATGTTCGCTATGATATGCACAGGACCAGACATTGCACAAGCAGTGGGAATGGTTAGTCGGTACATGGCGAATCCAGGCAAAGAGCATTGGAATACAACAAAGAGGTACAAGGAGAAAGAATGGTGTGAAGATATGATTGTTCCAATTAAATCTTCAAGTGGGAGATTGTTGAAAATCTTCATTCGATGCCTACCGAATAACATTAATCAACAATAGGGGGCACCGAATGGCAATGGCCAAAGGAGCTGAAATTGTTGAATTTTATGGAATGGTAAAATTGCTAAATTAGTCCCTATACTTTAGAATATTTTTAAGATTAGTCCTTAAGCTTCAACTATAAATACCCTAACCCATTTAGCTTCAAAACCATCCCAAATCATTCTAGCTTTCTCCGAATACTAGAGAATTTAGAGTGTTTCTTGATAGTTGTTTTCTCATTTTTTATCAAGAGAGAATTATCATTGTTTTCTCCTTGTTAGATAGAGAGAAGTTGTAATTCCTATTTTCTCATAGTGAAATTCTTCTATCTTTGCCCGTGGTTTTTACCCTATATTATTTAGGGGTTTTCCACAAAATTTGTTTCTTCTTTATCTTCATTTTTATCTTCTCAAATTATCAATTGCGATTTTGTTCTATCTGATAGTCTTATTCCGCAACAAAAATTATAAATTACAGATGTTATCAGGTAGGAAGACTATTATTCTCAAGACAATCCCTTATAAATTATAGTTCATCGTGAAAATAGCACTTCAATGACTTCCTTCCTTTCTTCTTTCTCTCGGTGACGATTGGACTTATATGCATGTTAGATTTGTTTCCATTAAGCTCGATCAATGGTTAAACAACATCTATGAATTTGGAAGACTATAGACCAATCTTCGTTATAACTCAAGCTTAGACTAGGGCTTTAGTCCATCCAGGAAGGTAAAGAGAGCATCATTATTACTCGATTTAGATACTTGAAATATGACTCAACTTAAATTGGGTCTCGTCTTTAGTAAACTCGAGATAAAATCAGTTTTGAATTCAACTTGAAATTCTTTTCAGATTTCAATATTAGTGTCACCACGCTTCTCGTCGGTACACCTACGATGCCACCATAAAGAAAGACCCCACTCAAATAAATAATAACAATATTTACCTTTTCGGCATCTTCTCTATACTCACTGCATGAAAGTATTAATCTATGCCCGCACAAGAAAATCTTCACATCTTGGGTTGACATAGTCCCCTTAAACTCTTCTAGATTTGGAATACCGATCCTGTTCATAGGTCCTCCAGCTAGTATTCCACTACTCACCGAGGTTTTATATAGAAGTAGGTCACCCTTGAGCCCATCCTTTTTTGTTTAGCTTTTCAATCATTTCATCGACGAGACCTTGTATGTTTTTTCTCCCTTAGAGTTTGATTCTTCGATGAGCACCTTTATGATATTAAGGATCTCTTTTGCATACTTTACGAATCCCTCGAGTCAAACCATTTTTCTTTCTAAATTACCCAATGTACTTGACTCCATTTAGTAACAGAATATATAAATATAATATCACAAAGCACATCAGCATTATAGTTACAATCTTAACTTGCTGCATTAATCCTTAGGTGCATAAACATCGGCTAAACCAAAACCAACACTGATGACAAAAGGCCGAACGACATGCATCACAAGATTCGTCAGTTTTGCAGGGTCAGCAATTTAGTTGGCCTGCATTTTATAAAATGTTAGCTTCCAACATTTGAAGATACAGAACAAGACGGCAATATCAACTTTATTTAATTCTGAAGTCGTGTACTAATATTAACATCAAACCCCATTTGTATTATTTGTCGTTGTCATTTCCCTTCTTTGCTGGAGCTTCATTAGCTTTCCATTGTATTCTTTAATACATGCTTTTCAGTTTATATTTGCTTGCGTTCCAGTTTGCTTCTTGACAATGTCCAAACATAAGAAACCAAACCTAAGGCTGAAAAAAATCATTGTCACTTTCATTGTTCACTTCTATGCCTATCTAAAAACTGCAATGGCTCTCTTCATCTCAGTTTCATCCCATCTTCCCGCAAAA